ATATTGTAGGCATGTGACTCTAATGCTTGTTGGTAAATTAGAATTCAATACGTCCAATAGGTATACAAGCGAACGTCGATACACTTTAATCATTGTATCAATAGGCGCATATGCATAGATGGCGGTACTCTTCATACAAGCACTCTCTATTACCATCCATACATGCCCTTTCTCAATATATAAGATATAAAAAATACTTGATAATACAAATCCACGTAATTTTTTTTTCAAGAAATTTTGCTTTAGAGAAATAATTAAGAACAAGAAAAAATCCTCCCTGGGTACGGATCGAACACACAACCTTCTGTTTACTAGACAGTTGCTCTACCACTTGAGCTACCAAAGAGCTGTGAATTCACTCGCACCGTTAGTTTAGATAAGTTTTCACTCTTAATTCTTAAGCTGTCTTTCACCTAAGCTCGATAATATAGGCATGTAACTCTAATGCTTGTCGGTGAATTAGAATTCAATACGTCCAATAGGTATACAAGCGAACGTCGATACACTTTAATCATTGTAGCAATAGGCGCATTTGTATAAATGGCGGTACTCTTCATACAAGCACTCTCTATTACCATCCATATATGCCCTTTCGCAATATATAAGATATAGAAAGTACTTGATAATACAAATCCACATAGTTTCTTTGTTAAGAAATTTTCCTTTGGAGAAATAATTAAGAACGAGAAAAAATCCTGGCAAATGGCAGTACTCTTCTTTTTTTTTTCTCGTTCTTAATTATTTCTCTAAAGGAAAATTTCTCAACAAAGAAACTATGTAAATTTGTATTATCAAGTACTTTCTATATCTTATATATTGCGAAAGGGCATGTATGGATGGTAATAGAGAGTGCTTGTATGAAGAGTACCGCCATTTATACATATGCGCCTATTGATACAATGATTAAAGTGTATCAACGTTCGCTTGTATACCTATTGGACGTATTGAATTCTAATTCACCGACAAGCATTAGAGTTACATGCCTATATTATCGAGCTTAGGTGAAAGACAGCTTAAGAATTAAGAGTGAAAACTTATCTAAACTAACGGTGCGAGTGAATGCACAGCTCTTTGGTAGCTCAAGTGGTAGAGCAACTGTCTAGTAAACAGAAGGTTGTGTGTTCGATCCGTACCCGGGGAGGATTTTTTCTTGTTCTTAATTATTTCTCTAAAGCAAAATTTCTTGAAAAAAAAATTACGTGGATTTGTATTATCAAGTATTTTTTATATCTTATATATTGAGAAAGGGCATGTATGGATGGTAATAGAGAGTGCTTTTATGAAGAGTACCGCCATCTATACACATGCGCCTATTAATACGATGATTAAAGTGTATCGATGTTCGCTTGTATACCTTTCGGACGTATTGAATTCTTATTTACCGACAAGCATCAGAGTCACATGCCTATAAAATTAAATATAACTTTTTTCCCTCAGCATTTTCTAGGGTTGAGGGGAATATCACGACGGTACAGAGATTACCCTGATTCTTATTATTATGTATGTTGAAATTTAGTTTTTTCAATTGGATCATTAATTTTATTAATAAGATCTTTAAAATTTTATAAAATTATCTGAAAAAGATTTATAAGAATACGTTAAATTTCATTCAAAAAAATTTCTAACAATTCAATTGATTAAATATTTCCTTATCCTTCTAGATCTCACTCTATTCATAAAATTCCCGAAAATTTCTATTCAATTAAATTAATTTTTTAATATGGCAGATTCGTGTGTTGCGTAGGATTCCATGGTCTTGGGGTGCGCACCAAGTAAATAGTCGAGGAACTAGTCTCAACGTCTTTATTAATGCAAAAACGAGAGAAGAGCGCATCGCATGTGTATGACCTTCGTCATTGACAGTTCCAGCCAGAGAGAGTGCTGCTTTCACTATCCTATCTGCTTATCGCTTTACTCTCTCCTACTACAATCATATGTAGTAGGCCCCAAAAAGAGGGGGCGCACGTACGTGTAGCTATAATATCGTACGTTACACGTCCATGGCCGCACCGCTATCGTCCTCGATGGTGGTTTTCCTTTTTAATTTACATGTTTTTGCTAGAGTAATGTTCGTGTAATGTTGTTTATATTGTATGTGAGATTTCGAACATAGGAGTAAAAAAGTGGAGAGAAAAAAACCTGTCCTTGTTCCTCCATTACACAAATTCGCTAAATTGTTATTTTGTGTAAACATTTATTGTTTTTGTTCACGGGCTTTCCCTTTATATAATAGTGGAATATTGCAAAATTATTATTTATAAATTCATAGAGTGTTATAATCTTTAAATTATTTCTACTAATTATTAGCTAATTATTTAATCCTACTGTAAGCTACTATAAGCAGATTATTTTAGAGAAAAGGAGAGAAAGAGTAGAAGAACAAAATTAAATTCCTCGGAATGTCACTATTGTACGGTTCCCAATTACCCCTTCTGAATCCTAATATTTTTTACCAGCAATGTTAATCTCCGAAACAATGATTCTAAAGGACGGATAAGATCGAACTTTTGCAAGTCAAGTCGGGAATGTGGCTCTACTTGTACATGTTTTTTTTTTATATTCCCTTATTTTCTACATTTAATTTATATTTAAGATGTGCTTGACCGAGGTGTATGTATGTGAATATATGTATATGTATCTATATAACAACCTATCGCTATGTGACAAAATTATTGTATTCTGTCTGTCTATCGGCACGTTCGGCACTGTGAGTCATTTACAACAGGAAGACCCATGTAGTACTATGGATCTGCAATTGTCACGCATGCTGTCCTTGTAAGTTATCCTCGTTTATTTTTCTCATGCTAACATTCCATTTTTCCATTTTATCGAGAGGAGCGGGTAGTAAGGATTTTTGGATAGTTTGGCTATATTTCGTCAGTGCTTACTTTGACTTTGTAGTGTCAACTTCGCTACTTGGTTTCCAGTGACTTTTGCCCTTTTCTCTTGTATTTTCAATTCGTGTTGGATTTGGCGTTATTTTCTCTACTTTTCTTATTACCTTGTTATTCTTGTACTACACCACGAAAATGGCGTTTTCTTCTGTGAATCCGGTTGATTTTGTGCGCCGGCTGCGGGATTCCACAAACCTCCCGTACGATAACACTCGTGTTACCGGGTTTGCGGTGGTCGACGGTAGTGTATGCTCCATACTCGAAGGTTCTGTTATGGAAGATCTTCTGATGTGCTGCAGCTGCTCACATGTGAGTATTATCTTTTTTTTTTTTAGTTAGTTTTCCTGTACCTAGATACATATGTATATATCCGTTTAATTTTTTTCTCTTACAGTCCATCTTATTGTTTATTTTCCATCGAGTTCCCTCCGTCGGACGTACCAGTGGGGCTCAAGTCGTGGTTGAGGAGCCTACAGTTCTGGCCCCTATCACTTCTCCAACCCACGGTGGATTATATTATTTTCTTGACATTTGACATTGCTTTTGAGTCCTTAGTTAAAAATTTTCCTCTTTTTTTCTAGCTGGGAACGAGATTGGTCATGAACCCTCACGGGTTCTTCTCTCTTCCCCTTCCTCTTTGCAAGCCGGACTGGCCCACAGGCGCTGTGCCTCTGCCTGTTCAAAGGTATAAGTACCAGGGTGGCGTCGCATGCTGCGATGTGTACTGCCCTTCTGGACGATTGTTCACTGTCCTGTTCTAGGATTGCCGCTGGACTGCTTCTTTTCCGTCGTCGGGTTCCATACTGCGGACCCACTGCAACTTTTCGGTGCCCGGGGCCTCGTACGTCATAGCCGTCGGTTGTACGTGCCACAATACGTTCATCATGGTGGTGGTTGAGATATCAGCCTCCGACCAAGACAGTTTTACGCTGGAAGGGCGGCCCGTTATACGTGTAAGGCCTCTCTTATTCGTTATACTTGTAAGAAAAATTTTATGATTCGTATTAATTTTCCTTTTTCCTTTTGCAGGTCAAACGAGGGAACAACGGACTGTTTACCATCGCAACGCATAATCCGCCCGCGATTTGCACAAGATGTAATTTTACTTCCAGCAATCGGCCCGCACCGCCTAATCTGAATGTGTCCTCGCTGGTGGATGGGTTCCGGAACTTGGCTGTTGATCGTCTTTCTGGGGTACGAGGATGGGGACGCAGGAGGGAGCGCACTTAAGGTGTGACCCACGAAAGACAGAGAAGGAGAAAAAGAAAATTTTTTTATAAATTATCCCAATAATAAAAATAATGCTTGTATTCACACATGTAAAAATAAAACAAAATTGTAGTAAAATAAACGACTCACGACTATTGTTTTGCTTTTCCGCATGCCCCCGTGTCTTCCTGTATATATGTATAAATTTATATAACTTTTGGCGTGAAAGTTAATAAAAATTTTTTTATTTTTTATTTTT